AAATGTTTGTTTATTTGTCAACGAATAAATGGAAACTTTAAAACAAAGACATTTTCTTCAAATTATATGCTTAAAATAAATGACGAAAGTTTTCACAGAGTTTTAATTTTTATTTAGTTGAAACAATCTGGCGTAAGGTACAAGTTAACTATTTGAATTACGGCTCCTCCTATTACATTAGTTAAGAAAAATACAGTTAAAAAAGTGCAATGCGGAATGAAATTCAGTGAAACTCAACAAAAGCTATCGTAAAATACATGTTACTTCATTCCATGTAATAAATTACTGTGTTGTGTATCGCTTTATAAATTAAATGTGAAATATTGCGAGTGTTCTTTTATTTTATTAAGTTATTGTTTGTTTATATATCAATTCTTTTAATAAATTTTTCATTTTGAGCATAAAGTTCAAAATGATTATGACATACCTTGACATTCTAAATCAATCCATCTCCGTAGCCAAATGGTTAAACATAATGCGCATTGGCGTAGTATTACGTTAAGCGCGAGAGGTCCTGGATTCGAATCCTAGGGAAACAAAAAATTGTTTCGGTCGGGCAGGGCACAGAAGTCTGATCAACTACTTGCCTGTTAAAGAACGGATTAGTGAAACGGACACAGAAATGTGTTTGCCCCATGCCCACATGATTTCACACTTTTATTTGGCATTCAAAATCTTTTTCTTTTTATTTTTGCTTAAAATTCTTCTTTTAATCATTAGTTCGGTATCGTTGCGTTTTTAAGTAACAAGTTAGATTTGTTTTCAAATAATCTAGCCTTATTGGATATAGTTTACGCGAATAGTTCACAGTGATATAAAAGATTTAAACGATCTAAAACTCGTAATATATTAGTTAATTTTTTACAATATGCAACCCAATATTTCGGATGTTTGGATGATCGCGTGACCAAGGCTGCTGCAATGGATAAAATATTTAAGTAATATATAATTCGAATTTTAAACCATTAAAAGGGTTTTAGTGCTGTAAAAATATATATGAAGTTTTATCTTAGCAACGTTAATGGATTTTTGGGACTCAAAAGCCATTTTCGGAAACATTTTGAGTAAATACAATTTTTATTCTTCACTTAATACAGCACTTATTACTGCCGAAACGAGCATTAAAAGCACTTTAGTAATGAATGAGCAACGCAAAAATTCATTTAAATCTTCGCTCCGCCGGGTATCGGGATCGGAATTTCTGGATTCCATCAATTTGCGATTTCCTTTAGCACGAAAGGAAAATTTCTTCTCGCGCTGATAAATTAGAGGGCGCTGATTTATTCGACAAGTTCTCAATCTTATGGGGGATAGAAAATTTTACACCTTCACTGTATTGTAGGGGCATGCATTAATTAGTTGATTTATTACCGAGGTTTGGAGTCGTACAAAGATGGGAGTGTTCCCAGGCCTCCATCGAAAGAACCGGAGCGGATGGTGTGTTTAGTGGTTGGCTATTGTTGCCGAAGGGATTGTGGTACGATTTACCACACTCCGCACGTCACTGTTCCCTGACGTGTGCGTGAATTAGGCATTCACACGATCAGTAAAAAAGTTACCGAGGTGGTGTGTTTCCGCTTATTCCTTTTCACTAATTTATAACAATAAAAAAATGACCAACATTAATTTAGAAAAACAATAAATAAAGGAAAAATAAAACATCAGCTTACTTCTTTCCTAACTCCTTAGTTATTTCTCGCGTTAAATTTTTTTTTTATTAAGTATTTTAGGATTAAAAATTTATCAAAAAAATAAGTTGGACCCCCGCCTTTTAATTGTTAATAAGTATGTTTATGTTATTTCGAACTCGGCGACTATGCTAAGCTAAAGTTTAACTACTGCTTGGAATTGAGAAAACAAATTGATTGATAGTGAGAGCATTTATCGAGGAAAGCTTTAGGCTAAAACCGTACCGTACCGCACCGTAATGCGACCAACGCAGTGAACGTGGAAAAAACGGGTAATACGATGTATGATAAAAAAAGGGATTTAGCATAAATCATAGCGAATCATTTTGCACATCTCTTCATCTTTAATTAATTTTTAAAGATGAGGAGATGTGCAAAAACACATTTTGATGTCCAAAATAACTATTCTACGGAGGCTAAGCCACTGGCACAGCACAGCACTATTATAAAAATATTTCAAATATAGAAAACATGTCATATGTACTTATAGTACGAACTAGCGTAGCTTGCAGGTATTTAGGAACTGAGCAGCTCGCCTTTGTAACTTTAGGAAGTAAGGTTTTTACCTTTCACAGATTTTCAAGATTCACAAAGCTCAGAGTGGAGTCACGTTCTCACGAAACTATGAACCTTTCATACATTCAACGTCTATTTCCTACCGATACAAAATTATATCAAGACCTCACGTTTGCGGGAGTCTCTCGTAAAATGTCGATTCAGCACAATGTTGGGATGTCTCAGGAAATTGCTAGGTGCTAAAACAAGATCACGTACAATGTTGCTCTGGGTTAATAGAATTTCGATTCTATTAGGTATTCTAGAAGGTATAGGCGTTATTAGTCTCGACGAAGACAATATTATATATATATATATTTACATTCTTAATTATTACTTCTCATTACTCACTATTCTCCCTATAATACATGTTGTTGTATAGTAGAATTGTCTATAATTTTATTCTACACGCGGGCTTTAATATATTTCTAAAATTTGGTAACTAAAATAGTTTAATTTTTTACAATATTTTTAGTAACTTAGGTTGAGTAAAAATAATCTCCAAAGACTTTTTAACAATGAATCATAATTATTCCCCTAAGTAATTGAATTTGTTGATTAAACATATTATCCTTTTGAAAATTCTAATAAATATCTGAATATATACATTTCCGTAATTCGCTAATTGTACACACTACACTACCACTGCAATATAGCTTATATTATGCATCCGTGCTACGAAAATAATAAAAATATTACAAAAATAAGAAAAATATTTGAAATTATAAACTCAATTTTCAAATTAGTTTCAGTCTTATCTATGAAATTACTAACTCATTACTAAATCTCCTTAACAAGACAAATCACAAATCTCAAAACACACACAAGTGAATATTTTAAATGAAACACTTTAACGGTTTAAAACGCGATATATATTAGGTAAACTTATTTGAAAATTATTTTTAACATCGGTCCAACGTTTCGGGCTACGTTTCGTGAAGTCATTTTCAAGTAAGTTTTACTAATATATATATATATATATATATATATATACTGATATGAATAATCCTCCGATTTAGCGGGGACGACACAACACTAGTGCGACGCGATTACCGCGCGCGTCCCGACACTAGCTCAGGAACTGTCAAATACAAACGTTGGCGCGCATTCTGTCGGTTAAGCCTAATTTTGGATAATAAATGAATATTTAAGAGTTTAACATCGTTTTTCCGACCTTAACAATATCAGAAGTGCGATAAGTGATCTTGCCCACGAGTGAACTTTGATGAATTGGACGATAATTTCACTATTAAAGTGCAAAGTTTGGTGAAAAAAAAACTGGCGGTTTTGGATGCGAAAAGACGCTTTTATTATATAATTTGGTGATGACACACATAATTAGTGATAAGAACGCTTGTAGTAACTAAGTTTAATGCAGTTCGGTACTTAATACTTGATTTTTGCACAAATTTTGTCAATCCGTAAGGGTCACTGACCTCCAGTACAACAAGTTTGTAGAAGTTTTTGGTGAACATTTTCTGGTTGAGAAATTGGTTTATTTGTGTGAACTATCCTGGTACGGTGACGATTGCATTTCAGAGTGCTTGAAGATGCATCAGTTGCGTGTTGAAATGTTCCTGGTTATTTGGTGAGATTGTTCCATGAACTTTTGTATTTACATAAGTAGACTATATATATATAGATAGATAAATATATATATAATTTGAGCATACTTTAATATCTGTTAAAATGCTCAGCGACCCATAAATAAACAAAGTGAACTATTCTAAGTTGTTAAAGCTAATTTTAAACTAAATTTAAGGACTATTTGGATAATTGAACTTTTACTGAATTTAATTACTTTTGTTAAAGAAGTTTACTTTATTCAAAGAGAATTATTAGTGTTAGAGACAGCAGTATAAGTTTATTGTGTGTGACTTTATTTTAATTGTTAACATGGGTCGGTACCAGAAGAGAAATAGGTCTACTAGTGCTTCTTCATCAGGGTCAAGTAATTCTGATAGACAATCTAAAAGTAAACGACAAAAAAAAGAACTTAAAAGGAAGAATAAGAGAATCGAAGCATTAGAAGGGTTGATTAAAGAATTACAACAGAAAAATTATAATAATGGTGACACCACACCAAGAGTAGAGTCAGTGGTTCGTTATGTGGGGCGGAATGATTTTATACCTGAGTTTAATCCTCAAAAATCATCTGTCTCAGTAGAACATTGGCTCCGTAACTTAGAAGGTGTTGCTAATATGCATGGCTGGGATGAACGCACTTTGATTTGCAACTGCACTTCTAAATTGGGTGGCTATGCTAAAAGCTGGTATGAACGCCAAACTTGCTATGACATTAGCTGGGATGAGTGGAAAATAAAATTAATTACAGCATTTCCATTCACTAAGAATAAGTTGTCACAGATTAGGGAACTTGTTAACCGTATTAAGACAAAAGATGAAGACCCAATAAAATTTTACTATGATAAGCTGGGTATTGGCATGTCATGTAATATGAGTGATGATGTGATAGCTCAAGCAGTTGTGGGTACACTTGGAGACAAATTGTTAGAAGTTGGAGCGTTGTCGGCTGGTTGTCATGATACTAATTCTTTGTTAAAGTACCTGGCCTGTATGAAAACATCATCGGACTGCGTTGAAGTGAAATCCTGGGGTTCATTTAATGTTTAAAATAATAACTTAAACAAGGTGGTCAAGTGTAACAATTGTGACAAGGTTGGTCATAAGGTGACTAAATGAAGGTTTTGAAAGCTACGCAAGACAGTTGTTCATCAGAGGACGAATTAAAGCAAGATGCTGTCACCCCTCTGGCATAGTGCCTACTGGCCTATATTACTGCCTACGGGGTTATTATCTGCCTACGGGGCTATTACTGCCTACGGGGCTATTACTGCCTACGGGGTTATTACTGCCTACGGGGCTATTATCTGCCTACGGGGCTATTATCTGCCTACGGGGCTATTACTGCCTACGGGGCTATTACTGCCTACGGGGCTATTACTGCCTACGGGGCTATTATCTGCCTACGGGGCTATTACTGCCTACGGGGCTATTATCTGTCTACGGGGCTATTACTGCCTACGGGGCTATTATCTGCCTACGGGGCTATTACTGCCTACGGGGCTATTATCTGCCTACGGGGCTATTATCTGCCTACGGGGCTATTTACTGCCTACGGGGCTATTATCTGCCTACGGGGCTATTTACTGCCTACGGGGCTATTTACTGCCTACGGGGCTATTATCTGCCTACGGGGCTATTTACTGCCTACGAGGCTATTTCCTCTAGGTGGCTGAGCCGAGTCTACGGCGGCGGCGGTTTAGCGGGAGCGCTACTTCATCCTTCGAGGGCGAAGGACTACACAGGATGGCCGAACTGATATGAATAATCCTCCGATTTAGCGGGGACGACAAAACACTAGTGCGACGCGATTACCGCGCGCGTCCCGACACTAGCTCAGGAACTGTCAAATACGAACGTTGGCGCGCATTCTGTCGGTTAAGCCTAATTTTGGATAATAAATTAATATTTAAGAGTTTAACATCGTTTTTCCGACCTAACAATATATATATCGCGGTTTAAATCTTAAAATTTTTTTATTTAAATGTGTGCTACACGCGTAAGCTACAGACAGCCAGTAAAGAATTTCATAAACTCTATAGAAGCGGAAGGCGCATTTCACATGCAAATTCTAAGCGATGACAAACAAAAATAAAATTCTCACGAACACTCAGCGTAATTTATCGCCGACGCCGAACTCGGGCACGTTTTAGATAAACTTTAAACTGCGACAACATAAATAACATAAGCACGCTGTTATTATATTTTTCGTCTTCCATACAGTTAGGCACGGCCGTTTGAAAGTTCATTGAACCGAAGGCTGTATTACGCGCGGAACGACTTCAAAGCGCACGTTATCATCTAAGGCAAGGCTAGGGACGTCGCGAGGCTTTTTTTGGTCCATTTCCTTTCGTTAGCCAAACAACCTCGTATAGTATTTGAGAATAGCTTTTTCATATTTATTATTTTTTTTCTTATAAAAATAATCATATGTATACGGCTTAAAACGCGATATATATCAGACAAACTTATTTGTAAATTATTTTAACTACAGCCCGACGTTTCGGATGCTTTGCAGCAGCCGTGGTCACGTTTAGACTCCCCGTGACGAGTTTAACTAATATATATCGCGTTTAAAACCGTTAAAGTGTATTATTAAAATGTGTACTACTCGCATAAAGTACAAACAGTATTTAAAAATAACTACAATAATATCTAAAAAAACATATTTTTACAACAAGATTTAGTCCGATGTAAATGAAATCGATCAACGAAACAGCGATGGATTTTCCCCATAACCCATTACGAGGATACAGACACAAATATTTGATTAATTTAGTAACCTAAGTAAAACTTTTACAACCTTACGGAAAAACATAAGCACTTACAAATTACGTATTAAACAAATTTTTATTCTATAAGTCATAGTTAAACTATTTAATATTTTTCATAGTGTCAATTTAAATTAAAAATCGATTATAAATGGATTATAAATTGATTAGTAGACGCTGTGGATGCCGGTTCAAGAACGGCCCGAGTCGTATTTTTTTTCAATTTTAATCGATTTTTAATTTATATAATGCCATCATGACATAATATTTAAGTTTTCAAGTGTCAATTTAAATGAGGTTGTAATTGGACAATCGTAAAGAAAGACTGAATTGCTTCAAACCATTGGAAACCCTGGCAGGACACAAGTTGGACGCCAATATTTATGTGTCTAACACCTACCGCCTTCAGACTTAGGATTTATGGGAGAATAAACTTTCGACCCGTTTCAGCTCAAACTTTAATATCGTTTATAAAGCTTAACCTGTCTTATAGCAAATAAACACGTATCTCAAAATAAACACGTACACATTAAAGTTAGAACAAAACAATAATTCTCACAATTGTTGATTACATTGTTTAGAAAGATACTTAAGAATACATTTCAATTCTAATACTGAACTTTTCCATAGAGGATTCTTATTACGCACTCGTAGAATGAGCTACAATTAAGCAAATGAGTAACTTTTCATAACAAATATAAATTCGATAGAACCTGATCACTTTTTTATTTATAATTTAATGATCAAAGTCAACGTAATCGAAGTTAGGTGGTGCTGAGGTGAATCCTCGGACATCACAAGGGCAAAGAAGACTTAAAAAGTAAAGAAAATTATTATTTAGTTTCATTATAACAATAATTTAGCTCAGAAACTACTTGATATAAATTTACACGTTTTAATGTATGCGTAGAATTTTTTCAGATTCCCGTGATGGACACCAAAAATCTCCCCTAACCTATTTTAAATAAGTATTCGCAACGTCTTCATCTACAAAAAAATAAAGAAAAAAATGTTAATAGCTATATTTTTTTCTCTAAATATATATTTTTTTGTTATCCATATTTTTTAGTTTCTTAATCCGTTTTCACAGCGCACGTAACGGGAGCCCTCAAAGATGAATAAACTTTCCCCATTATTTCTTAATTTTCCACTATTTCCTTGCTCCTATTAGTCACAGCGTGATGTTATATAAAGTAAAGCCTTCTAGGGTCTATCCATCACGGGGTGTGTTATAGTATTTTATTTTACTGTGTACTACCCGCGTAAACTACAAACAGTATATATTAATTATAAAAGGTGTATGTAGCATTATGGACAGACACCTTTATTTCGTATATAGCGAGTTTATGGAGCCGAGCCACTGTGCAGCGTTAAGCGTGTTAACAAAAGACGCGATTATGTGACGCGGAGTGCAAAACCTTGTAACGTACCGATACATTACGGCCCCCGGTTTTATGGTCAATACGTGATGACTTTTCTGTTTTAAAATTATGTGTCACGAGCCCTTTGGGCTTTACAACCCTTGGCTTCGTAATATTCACATCATCATCCAGCCTTTGATGTCACTTTTGACATTTACTTTGTATCACAAAATGGCGTTATTAGACTATTTTTCATAATATAACAAGATTGGTTATCAAATTATCCACTGAAGTATTCAAGTTCTGGGATTATGTTTAAATTATATCATATTCTGCTGGTATCCTGGCTCATGTTTAAGTATTAGAAGTCCTGGGTTCGAGAATCAGAAGAAAAACATTAGGTTTTGGTATGACAGGACACCTAAGTATACTAAATTACTTTTATATTTAATCATTCAGTGAAATAAGTCTAAATGAGTCTGGTCTATACCCTACAAAGGATGGGGAGGGGTGAGATTAAACTATATTAAAAATAATTTTCTTACTCTTTTATTAAATACTAATAATTATAATACCTATTATTATTTAATTATACACTAGAAAAATTCACAAAAATCTTAAACTAACTTTTTTTTAGTCTAGTTAGTTTGCAGTTCTATTTACAGAAAGTTGGTTAGTACAGGGTAAAAATACATTAATATCAATTATCTTAATGCGCTTAGTGTGTTTATGTCGCGTTTCTCTTCAATTTTGTATATTAGCTACATTTCTTTTAAACACATTATAGTTAAAAAATATAACACTCTTTCAAACGTGAATGCATCTTCGTTTCATTTCCTAACGTAACGTGTTTTAACGATTTATTATATATTTATGCTATCGACAAAAAATTGTATTCCGTTCCAATGACTATCTCCGACTATGTAAAAAATTTCGACCCCTGTCCCTTTTGGATCGACGTCGAATAGCTGACTTACCTTCCTTATCAAAGTAATGACTAACAAGATTGACTCTCATGAGTTACTAGGGATGATATATTTTAATGTACCACCCAAGACACTTCGGCTTACCCCTCTTCTTCACACTCCTGCTAAAACCAATTACAGGCAAAACAACTTACTGGTGCGCGCCTGCACAAGTTTCAATAAAATTTGTAAACAGCACGACATTGATCCCTTTTTATTTAGTGTGCCCTTAGCAAAAAGAATCCTATTTCACATTTTTTCAAATGCTTATAGTACTGGATAAGCTAACACTCAACGCCTCGGAGCCAGTTCAGTATTAACAGTTTGTAAAAACATAACTTTTCGAAAAGAAACAAATGCTCGCTGCCACGCTGAGAACTGCACTCAGAAAGAAATCAGAGTTGGGAAAGAAATCGAAAACATTGCGTTATATATAGTTGCAGTAACAAGTTGGAAGGTTGTACTCAGATCATTAATAAGCTCCAAATCTAAGCCTCGCTTACATCTTTTTAGTAGATGGCATGAGTAACTCGTAAGGATTCATTCCTTCATGCTTCAATCTTGTATTCACTTGTTAGAGTTGTGATATACACTAGCTAAACCTGACATATGTTCTGTTCTCGAAAATATTTATTTTTCGAGCAAAATTTTGATTAACACAAAAACCATTAAATACTGTCTATAGTTTACGCGAGTAAAACTATAGACAGTATTTAATATATTAGTTAAAATAATTTCCAAATAAGTTTAAATAATGTAAATCGCGTTTTAAACCGTTAAAGTGTTTTATTTAACATATATTTTCATTTCAAACCACTAGTTTCTAAGATTAGCGCGTTCAAACAAATAAACACTTCAGCTTTATAATATCAGTATAGATTCTTCAACTACGTAATCTAAGTCGCATACAAAGTATTCTAGACTAGTTCCATTAGCTATTAACTAAACGAATACTAAATCAACCGCTTCGAGAAGGTTGCAACTTCATTGCCTTTCGACTGCACCATTTCTCTTTAACTGGATCGCGAAGTTTTCCCTCCAAATGCGAAACGTCCTAAATCTCTGAGCGAGCCATGGACGTTGGTGCCTTGTGGAATTAAGGCATGTATCACGATCTAATCGGACGTTGTAAGAAAGATGAGGAACATTAGTACGAGCACATCGTGATTGGAATCTTTGATTGGACTCTCAAGAGGAATAACGTTCTTAAACTATCGCGAACTGTTTATACTTTTTTATGATATAGGAGGAAATTCCCCAGCCACATAATATCTGAACTAGATTCGCTGTCGTCGCTATTAAACTTCCCGTTTTTTTAATCTGTGGATAGTTTGTAACCTGTACAGAATTTCGATATCCCTACCACGCATTTAATATCCATGTTTCCAAACGAACTACGTTTCAGAATTAGATTAAATGGATCAGATGCATGATGGACCCGGTGGGGATCGATACGTTTCTATCATCACAATCACGACCCCGTCGAAATATACTACTTGGTACTGTTGACAAATCATCTTGCAACTTCGTTAAGTTAAGCTGTAAAGTTTTGAAGATTCATTCTCAATCTA